GTATAATGGATTATATATACATGTAGCTAGCAGGTACCAGGTACCAGGTACCAGGTATCAGGTATTCACATCTATTTATCTATCCATGTGAAGCAGCTTTCGGGTCTTTGTGGGATAAGAGTGATATCCCCATATTTTCATATTTCATATTTTCATATTTTCATATTTTCATATTTTCATATTTTCATATTTTCATATTTTCATATTTTCATATTTTCATATTTTCATATTTTCATATTTTCATATTTTCATATTTTCATATTTTCATATTTTCATATTTTCATATTTTCATATTTTCATATTTTCATATTTTCATATTTTCATATTTTCATATTTTCATATTTTCATATTTTCATATTTTCATATTTTCATATTTTCATATCCCCATATTTTCATATTCTCATATCCCCTCCCTTATCCCCTCCCTTATCCCCCCTTATCCCCCCCATTATCCCCCCCATTATCCCCCCCATTATCCCCTCCCTTATCCCCTCCCTTATCCCCCCCCTTATCCCCCCCATTTATCCCCCCCATTATCCCCCCCATTATCCCCCCCTTATCCCCATATCCCCATATTTTCATATTTTCATATTTTTCATATTCCCATCCTCACCCCTTATCCCCCCCCCCCCCCCCCCTCCCATTCACCCATTTCACCCATTCTTACCTCATAATACCACACCACCCACCACCCCAACGATTCAGTAGTTAGGGGTATCATGAGCGCTTGCCACTCGCATTCTGCCTCGACCCGGTTCGAATCCCGGCTGAATCATTTTTTGTCTATGATGATGATTGATGATTTGATGATTTGATGATTTGATGATTTGATGATTTGATGATTTGATGATTGATGATTTATGGGATGATTTGATGATTTGGATTTGATTTGATGCTTTGATGATTTGATGATTTGATTATTTTGATGATTTGCTGCTTTGATGCTTTGATGCTTTGATGCTTTGCTGCTTTGCTGCTTTGCTTGATGCTTTGCTGCTTTGCTGCTTTGCTGCTTTGCTGCTTTGCTGCTTTGCTGCTTTGCTGCTTTGCGCTTTGCTGCTTTGCTGCTTGCCTGCTTTGCTGCTTTGCTGCTTTGCTGCTTTGCTGCTTTGCTGCTTTGCTGCTTTGCTGCTTTGCTGCTTTGCTGCTTTGCTGCTGCTTTGCGCTTTGCTCTTTGCTCTTTCTGCTTTGCTGCTTTGCTGCTTTGCTGCTTTGCTGCTTTGCTCTTTCTGCTTTGCTGCTTTGCTGCTTTGCTGCTTGCTGCTTTGCTGCTTTGCTGCTTTGCTGCTTTGCTGCTTTGCTGCTCTGGCTTTGCGCTTTTGGCTTTTCGGGTTTTGGCTTTTCGGGTTTTGGCTTTCGGGTTTTCGGTTTTCGGGTTTGTTACTGCTGAGTATGGGCTGGAGCTGGGCCGACCCTGGGCTGGAGCTGGGCTGGAGCTGGGCTGGAGCTGGGGCTGGAGCTGGGCTGGAGCTGGGCTGGAGCTGGGCTGGAGCTGGGCTGGAGCTGGGCTGGAGCTGGGCTGGAGCTGGGCTGGAGCTGGGCTGGAGCTGGGCTGGAGCTGGGCTGGAGCTGGGCTGGAGCTGGGCTGGAGCTGGGATGAGGTTGATAACATAACCCAGAAGGTATACGTGGGATATATACCATACACAGGGCCATTTCTACAGACAGTATGCATACACCGATAGACAGCGCTTCCACACGCTCATATGATATTCCCCATCTCTTCTTGATCCTTGATACTTTTTCTAGTCTGCTATCATAAAATTCATATATTACTCGTGCTATAGCGGATACACAGGATTGAAGACCATTTCTACATACAGTCGTACATGACAAATGCTCTATGCTCCATGTTCTCGGGATAAGGCGATATTGGTGAGATTAGGTTGCAGTGAAAGAATGAGTAAAAAAAATAAAGGGATAATAAAGAGATAACAAAGAGATAAGAGATAATAAAGAGATAATAAAGAGATAATAAAGAGATAATAAAGAGATAATAAAGAGATAATAAAGAGATAATAAAGAGACAACAAAGAGACAACGGAGAGAAAATCAATTAAGATACGGGAAACTATGAGGCCGAAAAAAAAAGTAATGCGCCAAACCCGGATTGAACGGGTGACCTTCAGATTACCCCGGATATGGATAGGACCGAATAGATACTTCAGTCTGACGCTCTCCCAACTGAGCTATTAGCGCTTGTTATGGTCGGTGGAGGTTATATGTACAATTGTTCAGTTTGGGGGGTTTTATAGGTGCTTAGTGCTTGTTGTGTTCAGGAAGGCTGTGATGGGGGGGGCATTATATGTGGCGATGGCTGGAAAGATTGGTGGAGAGGAGAAATGGGGGAAGAGGAGAAATGGGGGAAGAGGAGAAATGGCGGAAGAGAAGAAATGGGGCAAGAGGAGAGATTTTGCAAATGCCAAATGGGTTCATGTAGGTTTGGGACGGATTACTTATGTGGATGATGAAAACGAGGTTTGAATTTGTTTCGTTCCCTTATATCCAGAATATACGGAATGATGACGTAAGTTTAAGTCGTGTCTAAATGTTTTCATTGAAATTGGCCGGTAACAGACTTGTATGTATCTCCGAGTGATATTTATGAACAGCGATAAGTATATTAAGCTTTCCTACAGACTTTTACGATAAGTAGATTTTGTATTCTTTTTGCCCTGTGTGAAAAAGAATATATGGCTATTTTCATCTTTTATATATTGGGTCAAGTAACTCCTCAATGTCAAAATCCGTCAATAAACCCCTCTAAAGCCTGGATAACCACAGAAGCACCAATAGATCTAGAACCTGCGTTTACATAAATCCTGATTGGAATGATAAACCGTGATATCTAAGAAAATCAATGGTAGCATAAGTTTCTAAACATGAGGTCTCATTGAATCATTCATAATAATTCTAACAGAGAGTCCTTGTTGTCGAAATTACACAGGACCACTTTCGACCACTGACATTAGTGATAACTCATGATTACAATCCTGCTAACTTCAAACTCATCTTTCCTACCCCCCGCTTCAGGCGTTCCATAGGTCCACTTATGATTTAGGTACCTTCGCGAGCAATTTATACCCTGCGCCACATATTGCTGATACAAATTCACAATCCGAGAAATCTACCCCATACATCATGAATGACAGCGTAGGCTCCCAGCTATAATGTATCTTTTCACAATTCATCATAATTTCAATAGGGAGAACTCGTTATCGGGATTTGCCAGAAAAAGCATCGATTCTGAGTGGAAGAGTAGACAGGGCTCCAATTGCACAGACGAGAAGCCAAACCAGCACGAAGAAGAATGGCGGCAGCAAGCCCCCAATTTGATGTACGCTCTGGATTAAATCTCAGCGAGTCTCGGAGGAAAAAGACCAGAGCCTCTGAAATTTATTCAAACCGCCGAATACGTCATAACCTTAAGGCTGGGAATGTTCAAGAAATTCGAATTAGATCAAATCGAGATTCTAATTCTGCCCACGGCGATCAATAAATTGACTGACGTTGGATTTCACCCTGATTCTTGACTGGGAATACTGTAAATAATGATTAATATTGAGGAGACAGTCCTGGTTTTTGACATTAAATGAGACGAATTTTCTGGCACCTGATGTTAGTGATAAACCATGATTTCGCTTCCACTAACTGTGAAGAAGAGCTCATCCGACGTCGAATTCACTTCTGATTCCAACCTTTTTCTAATACTAGATGATAAATATATATATCCTCTTGCAATTATTTTGAACAGAGTTCCAGTATTATCTACATTCGACGGAACCAGCTTTGACCGCTAGCTTATGATTCTAATTTCACTAATGGTCTAGGATAGCTTGATTGATATTGAATTTAATTCGATTATAGGTTTGTATAACTGTACTCATAGAAACTTATGTTCATTCATGCGGTTTGTATAGAATTTTCCTAGCCAGTCGACTTTAATACTTGAGAGTTGGAGTTCGAATTACCGGTTCGATCAAACATTATGCGGATTCATATTCTTCATGGGAACTGACGCACGTGTATTTTTTCTAACTGTTAAAATAGTCTTGCTGTGAACACACCTAATGATACTTTTATCATAGGTGTTCCACTCCGGTGTTGTCATACCACGATGAAAATATTTATTCTTCTCCGACATAATATCTGGAATTACTTCATAGGCTGACATTGGTAATGCCATTAACGAATACAAAAGCTGGAAAACAATAATTAGGCAGTAAGGAAAAAAGAAAATAAGAAACAATCCGCCCAGGACGAAAAAGAATGGCTCGAACCAGGATTTGAACCTGGGACCTCTCGCAAACCTGTGCAGGTACTTAGAGTCAACCCTAAGCGAGAATCATACCACTAGACCATCCGAGCTGGGTATATTAGTCCGACTTAACGTAGCTAATATAGAGCAATGTATGCTATTGTCAAAGTCATTTCTCTGCCCGATCACGATGACGATCAAGGATAATTCATCCACATTTCGGAATTGAAAGACTCGAAATAGGACCGGAAATATCCGTAAGGTGGGTTAAGATTTTATTATTCTTTTTTGGTTGGCATACAAGCTACAATTTTTGGTAACTACACGATATTTGATATATGACATACTTTTCACATCTGACACTCGTAAAAACCTCCACATTTCCCCCTAAACGACTAATCGGTATATGTATCACTACCATGTTATATCTCCTGGCTGTTCTCTTCTCCTTGTTTTTTGTCATTTTTCCAAAACCCAACTTCCTCAAATGACATCACCATCCCTTTGAAGGAACACACCAGCTTGACGTTGGTTTTCAACCTCAACAGCCCTAGCCTGCAGCTGTTGCATACGAAACGTCAACTTTCTTTCCTCGAGCTCAATCCGTCTTTCTTCTAACTGTAATTTCTTTTTCTCAAGGTATAGCTCTATGTCAAGCTTCTTCATTCTCAGTTCATAATCCTTATCCAGTTCGTACTTTCGGATATCAATGCTTGTCGGTCCGGCCTGATTGTTTGCCCCAATTATTGGTTGCTCCGATTGAACCTGAGGATTGGGCGGTGGAGCCTGTCGCTCAGAAGTGAGAGCTGGTGCTGCAGGTCTGCTCTGAGGCGACTCTAATTTGGGCCGAGATATTCTGGAAGGCTCGGTAGGTCTGTCGGGTGCAGGACGCTTGATACCGGGGGTTGAAGGCATCATTTTGGGTGTATTCTGAAGTGGTTTATGGGTGCGACGAGGTGAAACGGAAGATACCATAGGTTCTGGCCTAGTCTGAACTTTGTTATTACTGGATCCCTCCTGATGCTCTGATTGAGCGTTCTTGTCGGAACTCTCATGACATCTGTTAGAAATACAATTCTTTGGGAAATCCTGATTGATTTCTCTTTTCCGATACTCTGGATGAGCAGGATGAGCAGGTTGGGTAGGCTGGGTAGGCTGGGGAGGCTGGGGAGGCTGGGGAGGCTGAGTATTAAAGTACCCTTGATGACTACGAGTACTGTGACCACTTGCTTGACTCTTGGTATTTTGTGCCTTCTCTTCATATAGAGGCTGAGATTTCTGACTAGTACCGCCTTGGTAACTGCGAATACTGGAAGTTGAAGGCCTGTCCTGATTTTCCACACTGTATTGATATCCTTCCTTGGCGCGATGAGTATTGATACCTTTGTCATCGCAATGAGAATCCTGGTGCGTCGCTCGTTCCTGAATATTCTGTGCCATTTCACAATATTCCGTCTGAATTCCGTGACTGTTCGTATCTGTACCTACAATAGGTTGTGGGGGTTGTAGGGGCCTGCTATGTTTTGTTGGAAAGCATTATTACTTTTTGGAATTTGGCTATTCGAAGTATCCTTTGCTGCTGACGCAATGACGGGTGTCGGTATTTCACCTAGCCCTTGAATTTTTTCGGTTGAATTTCCGATAGCCGCCTCCGGCACGAGAAAAGACGTGTTAGATGCTGTCCCCAACCTATCCTGTACGATGACCGGTTCAATGAGCCTTTACTTAGGAGCTCTTTGTGAGCAGCATTCTCACGCTTATTTCCTCGATGGTTTGCTTGATTGCGTGGGGACTGCTACCTATTCCTATGAGTGGATAACCTCTCAGAGGGCTCTGCATTGGGGTGATGGTCAAGCTCGAATTGGTAGTAACGGGTGTTATTGTGGCAGTCTCGTTTGACTTTAGGCCACCAGAAGCAGGGACGTCACTGGTTTCAGTTGCCGAGTCAGGCAAACTATCGCTGTCTAGGGTTGTACGGGGTGCTACAACATCGACTTGGTCTGACTGTGCTTGGTACACAGTAGAATCTCGATGGGCAGCCAACTTTGTCAATGGGCTTTTTGTAGGGCTGAATATGGCGTCAAATCTCCAAAAGTACTTGCAAATGGTGTTTAACACCTCTGTTGTGAATAACCATATTAGTAGGTTTTTCTTCCAAAAGGATTTCAGTGACTAACGTTTCTTGTGTAAAATATCCGGGTTTGAGTCGTTGTCACTCGCCTTTACTCCCCACCCGGGCAGAGAATTTTCCTTTTGGCAAGATTCCAATTTCGGATGTGTCTATGGAATCGATCGCAAATCTGACGAACTGTTTTCGTTGGGATGCATTGGGCCATCTCTGACATCCATTCTTCCTCGCGATGCCCAGAGAGTTGAGCTGTTTGGCGTAATTGATAGGATCTTCGAGCCAACGAAGCATAGCGTCAATTTCATGGTCGGCCCAATTGCGAGTACGCTTCAATCGCTCAGGAGGCGAACATGTATTCATATCGGGGGATTTTGTCGTGCGGACTTCTGTTTTGGAGGCATGCAGAATGTGAGATGTTTGAAAGATACAGGCTTTTTTGCGAATTTTTTTTTGAGCTCTGATGGAGCATGATGGAGGTAGAGGTGGTGGATGACAAAAACTTGCATAGCTTGTACCGCCGTGTAACTCCTAGATTGCTAAAAAAAAAAAATCAGATTGAGTTAAGATGTAGAAGGGGCACGAACAGCAGGAAATACGCGAGTATGACTGATGAAGTTTTAGTCTAGGAATAGATGTCGTCAACTGGAGGTTAAATATTTGGAATTGGGTAGCAAGCGTAAACTGTGGAGGAATTCTCCGGTATGCAATATTATTTTTATATTTGCAAAATTTTGCAAAAACACCAATCCGTATGGTGTAGTGGCTAGCATCGGCCGCTCTCAAGCAGAGCATTAATCCGGCCAGACCGGGGTTCAATTCCCCGTAACGGAATATTTTTTTGAGTGTCTCTGCCTCGCACGAAAGCGGGTTCCGGTCTGCACCTCGTCAACGTTTCGACAAGAGCCCATATTCCTGTCCAATGGCGCCGCAATCAATAGTAAGTGGATTTTTTTGCGTTTTTCATCACCTATGCATGTATGTATATGGTTTCCGGGAGAAGAATAATTTCTTGTACTGGACAGCGTCGAATCCAGAAAAAGCATTGTTCCATTGGTTCTCCACTCATTCAACTTCACTTTTCCTCCATGGTATCTGGCAATTGTGCGATGAACGCGATTACCCTCTTAGCCACTAAAGTTTCATGAACATTCTTCGCACATTCTACAATTCTATCTCGCGAAGCCACACTCTCCGGCGCAGAAAAAAATAATCGTCCACGTCTGCTTCTTTTGCACCGAGTTACCTGTATTGTTTGCAACATTTGAGGTCTGTTTTTTACCGAAAAGGGCATTCAAAGAAGACATTTTAACCCGTAGCCTTAGGAAACAAACGACACGACTCATCTTCGATGATCGAAGCCAGACCCATCCATTCCTTCTGGTATCAACAATTTATGCACTTATCTCCCACCAAACAACCATCAATGCAGTCACCTAGCCGCAACTTCACCTCCTGACCTCCTGTACTATGGACCTACGCATCCAAATACAATCCAAGCGTGGCATCCGCAACGCCCAATGGTCTAGTGGTATGATTCTCGCTTCGGGTTTACCCCAGTTACTGAGTAACTCTGATATGTGGGAGGTCCCCCGGTTCAAACCCGGGTTTGGGGCCCTCTTTTTGCTTGTGTCACAGTCGATGTTTCTGAAAACATTGACGCTGGCTGTGTTACGGCCATGCCGAAGTTTTTGTGATTGCAACGTGATTGTCTATCGCCGCTCGCTTGTAAGATCCCTGCTTAGTGGGAATATCGGGGTTTCGCTTGTTGAATTTTGCTATGTATCGCTTAAAACACAACCCAAATGTACAGCGAAACAGAGATATGTCATAGGGCAGGGCCCGGAAACACTCCTTTCACACAAAAGTTACGACAAAATCTAGGACAATGTCATTCCCTGAAATACTAGGAAGAGCGGTCTTTAACAAATCGGATACAATCACAACAGTAATGTGGTTCAATGACCGCTCCAGATGGACTTCTGACAAATATGACAACTTGATTCATCATACCGTCCCATCGACTCGCCATGATACTCTTAACTCTCTGGATTGTAGTTGAACATTCTTGATCCTTCACAATCACTTTAGGAGCGCTGACAAATAACTCCGAGTGTCCGAATGTTTGCAAATGCAGCCTCCAACATTTAACGAGCCGATCATGCAGACGTTACCATTCCTATCGGCAACGCATCCTCCACCTGTTCCTCCACTTTTTCGACTGTCAGTGCCACCTATCAGCTCCTCCCAACAACATCCGGCTTCTTCTACATTTACTGGTATCTCCAGCTACGCCTCCATTAATATTATCTGTCCTCACCTTCCGGTGCATTCTCAGGCTAACGAGGTCACCCTTCAGAGGCATAAAATGCATTGGTATTATAGTAACTATAGTAATACCTGTGTCATCAAATGGGGGTGTGGTTAGTGGTATAATTCCTCTTTAGCATAGAGGCGGTCCGGCGTTCGATTCGCCGCTCCTCCATTCTTTTTGTCTTGATAAGCCGTGCTTTCCTGGCTTCCCGGATGTCCATGACTTCCATCACAGTTAACTACCTTTTTGCTAACTTCGTCCTAGATACCAGGCATCACCAGCGAGCCAGGGCTCCGAAGCTCAAGGTGGCCCACAAAGCCCGCAATTTATGACCCCTTTCCACGGTCTAGAGCTTTTAATCCCGATTATCCGCCGACAAAATACACGTAAACGTTTCCCAACGCGCATACAGCGGCGTGAAAATAATGGTTATTCACCGATCGAAACCAGTACAGCTGGAATACGACGCATGCCATATCTCATATATAGATTACTCTACCCCTACTACTCCGCCGAAGGTGCATGTGTACACACGCGTTAAGGTCCACCTTCCATCAAGCTGAAACGCGGTTCCATTGTGGAAAGTAACCTCCTGAGGTTAAGCAAAAATCGAGATCCAGCATGTAGATTCGTATGGTGACCGTACGGGAGACGCCAAAACGAGCTGCCTT